CTCACGCCAAATGACCTATCCATGTCTAAAATGTCTAATCTTCCGAGTATTTTGTAAGCCGTGATCATGGGCACCTAGTTTCTTCTCCCATTCCAGTGATTTAAGATTTGAGTCTCGTCTATCCTCATAACGAACAGCTCTTAGCTCTGGGACTTCTCGGCAGGCACATCTCTTAGCTTTGTGGAGCTTGGTGTTGTGTTTGAGGAGACGAGGACTCCTTCCTGATACTGAGTATTCCTGAAGTACGGTCATTTTTAGGAGAAAGTTCTTAGCCAATACGACAATATAGCACTTGGAAGGGACACGAGGATAAGGAAGATGGGATGTAGGATCGGTGTCCAATTACTTGCACCATTGTGTAAGCTAACGACGACTCAGGATTAAGCGAGGGCGTCGCCTCAATTGTCTAATATATATATTTGTATATTTTGGTAGCAGTCTTTCTTGTAAACATATGTTGTTAAATATGACCGAAAAAGTAAGATTAATAATTCTAACACGAATTTTCTCGATCTTTCTTATGTTTCTTTTTACTGTTGATGGAAATTGAAAAATCAATTCTCCAAAATTCCTTTTAATTTTTAGTCTGACGCGACACTTGAACGCGTTTTGTAATAACTTATTACATTTTCAAAGACTTTAGTTTACACACACACAACTGTAACCTGCAAACACTAATCAGAGTTTTACTATGCAAATATTTAAACAACTTTTGTCTTATATACTCGCATTTGGGTGAGGTGATATGTTACAACAGTTTTGGATGAGGTGAACAAACTTTCAACACAAGACAGAACACGGTTCAATGGGTATAGATGAAAGGGAAGAATCGAAGTAACTGCAAAGGGCCTATTGGCCCATATTTCCTCTTGATGCTTCTATATTGGTACGGAGTCTTGAAGTGGGTAGAATATAGTTGTGCATTAATTGGCTGTTGATTGCTGGTGTTGACTTCTTGATATCAAGCCGCCTGCTATCGCTGTATCTATCGATGATTTCCGTGTTGTTTGTTAAGACTTCTCTGGTGATGGTCTGGTTGTGGGAAGAGATTATATGTTCCTTAATGGAGCCCTGTTGCTTATGCAGTGTTAATCGCCTGGAAAGAGATGTTGTTGCCTTGCCTATACACTGAGTTCTTTGGGGCTTACAGTCCTCAAGTGGGCATTTAAAGGCATAGATGACGTTGGTCTCTTGCGTTCTGCTTTGTGTCTGGAGAGTTTTTCATGAGTAGGTTGGCCGTTTTTTTGGTTTTATAGTAAATCGTCAATTGTATCTTCTGATTTTTGTTTGTAGGGATAACGTTTCTATTAACAATATATTTCAGGACCCTTTCCTCCGTTTTATGAGCTGAGGAAAAGGAGTTCCTGTAAAATAGCCTAACAGGGGGTACGGGTGTTGTGTTAGTTGTCTCTTCAGAGGTTGCATGGCGTTTCACCTTCCTTTTTATGATGTCTTCAACGAAATCAAGCCGTTGTTGACTAGGACCTGCCTTACTCTACAGAGTTCTTCATCGACTTGCTTCCATCCTGAGCTGTGGCTGAGAGCACGGTCGAAATAAGCGTTAACAACACTCCTCTTGTACTTGTCTGGGCAGTCACTGTTGGCATTGAGGCACATACCTATGTTTGTTAACCTTAGTGTAGACTGCAGTGTGGAAACCTCCGCTCCTTGCCATGACTGTTACATCTAGAAAGGGCAGCTTCCCATCCTTCTCCAGCTCGTAAGTGAAACGCAACAGAGAATTCCGCTCGAATGCCTCCTTCAGCTCCTGCAGACGTCTGACATCAGGTACCAGTGTAAATATGTCGTGAACATACCTGCAGTATATGGCAGGTTTCAAATTCATGTCAACTAAGACCTTCTGCTCGATGGTGCCCATGTAGAAGTTCGCAAACAGGACACCTAGGGGAGAACCCATGGCGACCCCATCTACTTGCTTATACATGTGCCCATCTGGGCTCAAGAAGGGTGCCTCTTTAGTACAAGCTTGGAGTAGTTTCCTTTGAATGTTTTCTGGTATGTCAAGAGGAGTACAAGCCGGATCACGATACACTCTGTCCGCTATCATCCCGATTGTTTCATCCACAGGTACGTTGGTAAACAGTGATTCTACGTCCAACGAGGCTCTTATCCCCAGACCCTCTCAGCTTAACCATCTCAGACCCTTCTAGCTTCCCCATACCAGATCCTTCCAGCCCCCCCCTCTCACCCCAGATCTTCCAAATCCTCCCTCCTAGCCCCTCCCACCCCAGACACACCATGTCCCCCTACCCAGGGGCCTCGTAGCCTGGTGGATAGCGCGCAGGACTCGTAATTCTGTGGCGCGGGTTCGATTCCCGCACGAGGCAGAGACAAATGGGCAAAGTTTATTTCACCCTGAATGCCCCTGTTACCTAGCAGTAAATAGGTACCTGGGTGTTAGTCAGCTGTCACGGGCTGCTTCCTGGGGGTGGAGGCCTGGTCGAAGACCGGGCCGCGGGGACACTAAAGCCCCGAAATCATCTCAAGATAACCTCAAGAAATCCCCAGGGGAATTAACAGAAACTGAGGAGAGAGTGAAGCGAGTCAGTTTCAAGGTAATATACTCGAACATAGATGGGATAACAAATAAGGCAAATGAACTTAGAGAAAGAGCACAAGAAGGGAACCTAGGTGTAATTGGACTCACAGAAACAAAATTCTCAGGAATCGTAACAAATGCGGTGTTTCCCCCAGGACTACATTGTAATAAGGAGAGAGAGGAAAGGAAGAGGAGGAGGAGTTGCCCTATTGATAAAAAAAAGAATGGAGTGTAGAGGAGATGGTTATCCCAGGCTGTGAAGAGTTCAGAGACAACATTACAATCACCATGATGATGGGGGGACCAAGGGTAGTAGTAACAGTGATATATAACCCTCCACCAAATAACAGAAGACCCAGGCAAGAGTATGACAGAAACAGCATGGCAGTCAACACTATAATTGAGAAAGCAGCCACTGCTGCCTGTAGAAATATGGTGGACTTCAATCATGGAAGGATAGGCTAAGAAAACAAGGAACCACACGGAGGTGAGAAAATATGAAGAGCTAAACTGTTGGAAGTGGTGACAAGAAACCTTTTAAGTCAGCATTTCAGAGGACCAACAAGGATAAGAGGCAATGATGAACCAGCGAGACTCGACCTAGTCTTCACACTGAATGACTCCTACATAAGGGAAATCGGGTTCGAAGCCCCCAGTGAGAATGAGCGATCACAGTGTACTGATGTTTGAATATCTGGTCAAAGAAGTATTGATGTACCCAAGGAAGGGCACAGAAAACAAAAGGAGGGCATTTCGAAAGGGAAACTATGAGGAGATAAGAAAATTCCTAACAGATATAACTTGGGAAACACCTCAGAGGACAGACGACCCAAGGCATGATGAACTACATCACAAAGAAGTGTAAGGAGGCAGCAGATAAGTTTGTCCCAGTCCAAAAGGGAAAAAAGGAAATGGAAATGAGAAACCCATGGTTTAATCAGAGATGTAAGGTAGCAATGCAACTAAGTAAAAAGCGTATAGAAACTATAAAATAATAGAACACAAGTGAGCAGAGAAAGATACCAGAGGGCCAGGAACGAATACGTCAAGGTGTGAAAAGAGGCGGAAAGACAATATGAAAATGACAGAGAATGCAAGGCAAAGTCCCAACCTAAATTGCTGCACAGCCACATCAGGAGAAAAACAACAGTGAAGGAACAGGCAATGAAACAGAGGATAGGATGCAGACAAATTCACTACAAACGACAAGGAAGTATGCGAAGAACTCAATAAGAAATTCCAGGAGGTCTTCACATTAGAGCAAAGGGAAGACTCGGAGATAGGATAGGGAATATATAACCAATCACCACTAGTTGATTGGTTATATATTCCCTATCCTTATCCCCGTGTTAAACAGTCTATCCTTATCTACCTTGCCAATACCTCGGAGAATTTTGTAGGTAGTGATCATGTCTCCTCTTACTCTTCTCTCTTCCAAAGTCGTGAGGTGCATTTCTCGCAGCCTTTCCTCGACACTCATGCCTCTTAGGTGTACTCACCTAGTTGTGCTTGCGAGGGTTGAGCTTTGGCTCTTTGGTCCCTCCTCTCAACTCTCAATCAACTAGTGTACAGATTCCTGAGACTACTGGGCTCTATCATATCTGCATTTGAAGATTTGTATGGAGTCTGCTTCCACCACATCACTTCCTAATGCATTCCATTTTTTGACTACTCTGACACTGAAAAAATTATTTCTAATGTCTTTGTGGTTCATTTGGGTACTAAGTTTCCACCTGTGTCCCCCTTGTTCGTGTTCCACCCGTGCTAAAGAGTTTGTCTTTGTCCACTCTGTCAATTCCCCCTCAAAATTTTGTAGGTGGTTATCATGTCTCCCCTTATTCTTCTGTCTTCCAGGGACGTGAGTTTCTGGAAATGTGTGTGTGTGTGTGTGTGTGTACTCACCTCACCTAATTGTGCTTGCGGGGGTTGAGCTTTGGCTCTTTGGTCCCGCCTCTCAACCGTGTGTGTGTGTGTGTGTGCGTGTGTGTGTGTGTGAGCGCGCGCGCGCGTGTGTGTGTAAGTTTAAATGGTTAATTAATAGAGATACATCTGTTATGTATTAAATTAATTCAAGCTCCAGGTCCTGTCAAGGATCTGGATATATATATATACATATATTTACTTAATTTCAAGAATTTTTATTTCTTGACAAAAGGCACCAACCAAAAAAAAATACAGACATACACACAAACGTTCGGTGTATGTCTCCCGAGTTTAATGTAAGTATTTGTCCCCCCTTTATATATTATAATGAGAGTGCAATGTTGCCACTCTCGCAACTCACGATGCAGAGAGAGAGAGAGACACACTCTCGGCCCCAGTGAACTAAGAGAAGGTTTCGTTATTCGTCGAGTTTCTTGCAAAGTAATGCAACAAATGTGAAAAATCATTGTGATAATTATTTGTATATGCAAGAACACTTGGACTAATTTTCGCATCGTTATGTCATTATGACCCCGCTGCCCTCGGGTGAGTGGTACTCGGGTGAGTGGTACTCAGGTGAGTGGTACTTGGGTGACTTGTACTCGGGTGAGTTGTACTCGGGTGAGTTGTACTCGGGTGACTTGTACTCGGGTGACTTGTACTCGGGTGAGTTGTACTCGGGTGAGTGGTACTCGGGTGAGTTGTACTCGGGTGAGTCGCCCTCGGGTGAGTTGTACTCGGGTGAGTTGTACTCGGGTGACTTGTACTCGGGTGAGTTGTACTCGGGTGACTTGTACTCGGGTGAGTTGTACTCGGGTGAGTTGTACTCGTGTGAGTTGTACTCGGGTGAGTCGCACTCGGGTGAGTCGCAATCGGGTGACCTGAACAAATTCAGCAATATATATATATATATATATATATATATATATATATATATATATATATATATATATATATATATATATATATATATATATATATATATATATATATAATGCGTTTGCAGGAGTTAAGCTACAGCTCTTGGGGCCCCAGAGGTGTTTCGTCATATATACATTTAAACCCATGTGCGCAGGTTACCTATCTTAGCTTGTCAGTCATAATCCCCCCCCCGTCCGCTCTCTCTCTCTCTCTCTCTCTCTCTCTCTCTCTCTCTCTCTCTCTCTCTCTCTCTCTCTCTCTCTCTCTCTCTCTCTCTCCTCTCTCTCTCTCTCTCTCTCTCTCTCTCGCTCTCGCTGGCTCCTCGTATTTATGTTTACAAAGGTGATCTTAACCTGTTGCTTACGCCTCGCAACGGTTAGGCAAACTAATTCACCAAATTACACTGCATTCAATTTAAGCTTAACAAGGCCCCAGTTGCCACCGAGAGAGATTTACCAGCAAGGTCGGATGCAGTTCTTCTGTTCCTCAACATAATTTGGGTAGCGACGTTTGACAGCCTCGAATTAAAAATGATAAAGAGTGACATAAGTAAATTTACTTTGAACAAAGGAATTAATAATATATTAATATTGTCTGACCTCCAAGAAAACGAGGGTGGGGCGGAAACTTGTGGCAAACGGGTCATATTTAATATTTCATTGTGTCTCGTACAATAGTATTAGCGATGGGGGTTATACTTATATTTATATGTAATGAAATAATGCAACAAAGAAAAGGGTTGGTAGCGCCAATGAAAAATCCTGGATTGGTGTTTTGCTAACAAATCCCCATAATGCTTTTCTGACCTTTTCTCCGAGGTCCGCTTCCCAGGCAGAGGTGGTACCCTTATACCGACCTTATAACAATAATATTATATATTTATAGCTTTAAATTAGAATGTCTGTCCATCTGTTTGAGGTTGTAAGCCAGACAGTTGGGGACTAGTCACACCCAGTTATGTACCCCTCAATTTTGTGGGGAACGTGCCCAACATGATTTAGTCGGAGTTTCTATAATTCAAGAGAGAACAGCATTCCACGATCACGTGTTGGCCCTCACAACGAATTTGGCACTGTCCAAAACAAAAAATTTTAAATTAAATTAAATTAATTTAAATTAAATTAATAAATTAAACTTTAAATTAAAGCTATTATTTTTTCATTCAGTATTGTAAAATATTGAGTACTGATCTCAGGAAAATGTAAAAAAAATTCTACTCTCATCCTTTCTCTGTAGCAGCGATAACATGAAACTTATAAAGATGTCAACACGTGTGTCAGGGTCTACCCCTCATTTCCTCTTCTCCTCCCAGCCATAGACACAACCTTCTCCAGCCACATGGACCATCTCCCACTGGCTCCTAGCCAGGAGGGGATGACGATGGCTCCGTGGTCAAGCAATCAAAGACTTCCAGTCTTACCCATAAGTACCTGGTTCGAATCCTAGCGAGAGTAGAAGCAAATTGAACATAACTGACTTAAAGTTATGTGAAATACTTTATAAAATACTCTTCCAAGAATTGTATTGTACTCAATACAATAAATAAACTCTTCCAAGAAATTATTTTTAATAAAAACAAAACTTGAAATTAGGGAATGACTGGAATTTCTATTAAAATCTTAACAGAATTCATCTTAAACAGAATAAGACAAAAACCCTGTATAGTACAACCCCTAATCCTGTGAGTGTTGGTTTACTATAATAAAGGAGTGAAATGATCGCTATTATTGGTTATTATTGAATCAAGAAATCCTGTTTAGGAATTAACCTGAATATCATTCATAAACATCTAGTGTAAATGTTTATAATTCATCTGCGAAACCAACATAGCCAAGTGTGAAGGATTATTACAGATTAGATGAGAAATGACTACTGAACCACCCCTTTCTCTCGGACGTTCACAACGTCCCTAAACTGATGTACTAAATTGCCCTAACCTAACCGAGGACCCACGAGTAGAAAACGGGAAATCACGTTAATTTTGCCAGTGTTATGATACTTAATGCATCAGCTTTTGGCCTAGAGGGGAAGGGTGTTACACGTCAAAATACGACGTACTATTCAAGAGGACGAGTTGACTTATCAATGATAATAAATTAGCCTAAATTTTGTGCCATTATATAACTTTTGGAAAACCTGTCCACCGTGACGTCATCATCTGGTTGATGGATGATGGCTTACTAGACTCTCCCTCCTGACATCAAGTCGTCAGCATCCTTCAGGAGCTCCTGACATCAGAACGTCAGCATCCTTCAGGAGCTCCTGACATCAGGACGTCAGAATCCTTCAGGAGCTCCTGACATCAGAACGTCAGCATCCTTCAGGAGCTACTGACATCAGAACGTCAGCATCCTTCAGGAGCTCCTGACATCAGGACGTCAGAATCCTTCAGGAGCTCCTGACATCAGAACGTCAGAATCCTTCAGGAGCTCCTGACATCAGAACGTCAGCATCCTTCAGGAGCTCCTGACATCAAGTCGTCAGCATCCTTCAGGAGCTCCTGACATCAGAACGTCAGAATCCTTCAGGAGCTCCTGACATCAGAACGTCAGCATCCTTCAGGAGCTACTGACATCAGAACGTCAGCATCCTTCAGGAGCTCCTGACATCAGCACGTCAGAATCCTTCAGGAGCTCCTGACATCAGAACGTCAGCATCCTTCAGGAGCTCCTGACATCAGGACGTCAGAATCCTTCAGGAGCTCCTGACATCAGAACGTCAGCATCCTTCAGGAGCTGACATCAGGACGTCAGAATCCTTCAGGAGCTCCTGACATCAGGACGTCAGAATCCTTCAGGAGCTCCTGACATCAAGACGTCAGAATCCTTCAGGAACTCCTGACATCAGGACATCAGAATTCTTCAGAAGCTCCTGACATCAGGACGTCAGAATCTTTCAGGAGCTCCTGACATCAGGACGTCAGAATCTTTCAGGAGCTCCTGACATCAAGACGTCAGAATCCTTCAGGAACTCCTGACATCAGGACATCAGAATCCTTCAGGAGCTCCTGACATCAGGACATCAGAATCCTTCAGGAGCTCCTGACATCAGGACGTCAGCATCCTTCAGGAGCTCCTGACATCAGGACATCAGAATCTTTCAGGAACTCGATCCTGACATCAGGACATCAGAATCCTTCAGGAGCTCCTGACATCAGGACATCAGAATCTTTCAGGAACTCCTGACATCAGGACATCAGAATCCTTCAGGAGCTAGGAGCGAACCAAAGCCTCACCCTAAACTCTATTTCAGTGTGAAATAATCTCCCAACCGACACTTGATCTATCGATCAAGTAATTTTTTTAACCTGATATCTAAGGTGTTTCATACTAAAATCAAAATTACGTGGATCTTCTTGAGTAAGATTAAAATCAAGGATGAAATTTCTTTCGGTGATACATTTATCAACATTAAATATTCACACTATCCATACCATAATAACTATTACATGTTAAAGTATAATTTTTTTGTAGCAAACTGCGATGAATTGCCACTTCTATACTTATATTAAAAGCTTTATAAGTGAAATATAAATTTAGCTTGTCTATAATTAAACGTGGCGATAGACAAATTATTGGCATAATTGGAAAATATTGTTTATAAATATATTAGTAAGCCGGTATAGGCAGCTTGGCTTGTGCTGGTTGATATTAAGGACTAGAAGCAATAGTTGACTTGGTCAAACATCGGGTTACACTCATTACGGTCTCTAATGGGTCTGTCGTTTCCATCCTGGTTGGACGGTCGGTTTTGGTCCTCAATTACGTTCGTAACTGCTATCATTCAATTGCTATAAGGGGGGGGGGAGGAGGATGTACGAGTGTGTTTGCGTGTGTATATGTGTATGCGTGTATATATATATATATATATATATATATACTGAGCGTGCGTATGTGTGGATACATGAGGCCATGTAACTCATTTCGTAATAGCCCAATATATCTCAGGGTAACATGTGTCCACGCTGCCATCGTGACTCAAGTTCAAAGTTCCCATTTGTTGCAATTGGTTGTTCATAATGTTGAACATCATTGCGCACGGTGTAACGTCTCTCTGAACGGGAGTATTCATTATAGCCCTTACTCACCACTACCCCTCCCCCCCCCCCCACAACCCCTCACTCCAGGATGAAGACTCAGAGAAGACTCATCACCATGAGTCTTCTCAACTCTCCTTACTTTCTCCTAACTTCTTTCATCCTAACTCTTCATCTCTTCTATCCTTTACTCTCTCTTCTCTTACCATCACTCACTCACCCTATTGTTCTCAACCTTCTAACCTTCATCCCCCCCCCCCCTACTACTCTATCTCTATTACCTTACTCAACTCTGCCCTACCAACACTGTTTGCCTGTTCCTTCTCTTCTATCACCACACCCTTACCTTACTCTCGCCTACCCTTTACGATATCCCCCAACCCCCTTTTCCAGAGCATCCCCACTCTTCCAAGCGCCTGTTACACACTACTCCCTTTCTTCGATTCTCTTCGCTACCTCATTCCCTCTCTTACTTACCAGTGTCTCATTCCTTCCCATTCTCACACTTGCCTCATTCGCTCCCTTTCTCTCACTTTCTCATTCCCTCACTTTCTTTTCACATGCTAGTTCCTTTTCTTTCTCTCCATCATCCACCACCCCTTTCCCTCCCTCACCCATTCTCCTCGCACTTCAATTAGACATAAAAGCATTGTAATGTGTTTTAAAATGAAGTTAATTTAGCCTTTTTAACATGTCTAATAGATCATGGTCGCCACCAATCAATTTACACTGTGCTATAGGAAATCCTGTAAATCTCCACCCAATTCAGGCATTGTCTTGACCTTTAAAACGTTCAAAAAACATCAAAAAGCACTCCCCCCCCCCCTTGCTAAATTGCAAAAATAGCACATTGATATCTTAACAGATGTTAGAACCCATTATATCATACTTTGTAATGG